GCAGGTAGCCATGTATGTGTGATGTGGTATGATGTGGTATGATGTGATATGATGGGATATGATGTGGTGTGGCGTGACGTGACATGACGTGAAAGTAGTGCGAGGTAATAGAAGTGCGATGTGATACTAGTGCAGCATGATACTAGTGCAATGTGATACTAGTGTGATGTGATACTAGTGCGATGTGATGTGATCTGATCTGATCTGCTGTTTGCATGGATGCATGTGTATGATTAAAAAAAGAAATATATATATATACATATAATGTCCAAAAGAACCCCCCGCAATTAAGTACGCCCAATCCCGGGAAATATTAATAAACCTACCCTGCATTAATTTTTGATATGTTTGTTTCCCGTGTTTTTTCCCGTTGTTTTTTCCCGTGTTTTTTTTTCCCCGCTGTTTTTCATGTTTTTTTCCCGGTTTGTTTTTCCCGTTGTTTTTTCCCGTTTTTTTCTGTTGTGTTTTTCCGTTTTTTCCCTTGTTTTTTCAGGTAGCCCCAACATCTAAATAATAATGAACGTTTGCACCCCCTAAATAAAATATTTTAATTTCAGGGGTCTAATTTTTTTGTGGTTGGATTCGTTTCTCAATTGATTTCCTATTTGAACCCTTTTCAAAAAATATTCGTTTCTCAATTGCTTTCCTATTTGAACCCTTTCAAAAAATCATTAAGATGCTCAACTACCTCATGAACCAAATACTTTATTTAGGGGGGCCCAAAAAAGTATTCTGACATACGCTCCCGCGGTTTTTGGTGGGCAACCCTTTCTCAAACCCTTTCTGAAGACCTCAAGACTCTTTGAGCTGGAAGCTGTAGACTCCAAACTCCAAATCTTTCCTGGAAAGTTCTGGAGTTGAAAAAAAAACAAGAAGGCTCAAATGGTTAGTTTTCTTACCGAGCCCTTTCACAAAATGCAAAAGATCAATCGCGCAAAGGGGGTAGGTAGTCCTGAAGACCCTTAACATCTAAATTAATAATGAATGTTTGCACCCAACTGAAAAAAGTATTTGGATTTCAGAGGTTTAATTTTTTGTCGGATTCGTTCAATTCCTTTCCTATTTGAACCCTTTTCAAAAACTAATTAAGATGCTCAACTACCTCATGAACCAAATACTTTATTTAGGGGTCCCCAAATAAAGTATTATGAAATACGCTTTTTTGGTGGGCAACCCTTTCTCCAACCCTTTCTGAAGCCCTCGAGGCTCAATTAAGCAATTCATTTGGGAATACTAAAATGAAAAGAAAGTTTACTTATGTATTCGTTTTCAATTAGGCAATTCATTTGGGAATACTAAAATGGAAAGAAAGGCCACTTATGAATTCGTTTTCAATTAGGCAATTTGTTCGGCGCCACATAGGTCTGGAACATTTTCCAGGGACCCCCGGCCAATGATTGGCCTAAACTTTATTTTGATGCTCTTAATGTTTGGGGGGTTATTTATAGCACGTCAACATGATATATACATGGATTTTTCCCATACAGTAGCATACACATATTAATATTAATATGTATCCATATATTTGGCATGTATAGGCGGTGTGTAGGATACCATACACAGTTGATGATGCAAGAAAAATACATATATACATACAAAAACACACACATAATCAAAGAGATGCATATACAGTGTGTAAAACATTAAAAACAATGAATGAAATAATAAACAATATAAAACAAATAAATATTCAAAAAATATTAATAACCACAAGAAAAAGGAAAATAATACTAAATGCAAAATAAACAATAAAAAATTGAAAGTAATCAAAAATGAAAAACAAAAAATAACAATAATAATGCTAAATGCATAATAAACTCTGAAAAAAATAAAAAATGACCAAACAAAATAATTTATACTGGAAATAATTCTTCAACCAAACTGCAGGCTGTCCTTGAATGGATCCTTGGACCACGGAGCATAACCGTTCCATCAGTTGAGAAACTGTTACTTGGGTCCGAATCAAAGGACATCAAATTTGCGATTATCAGGGATGGTCTTTGATCAAGATTGTGTCGATCCAAACAGTATTTTTTGACAATCCACATGTTGGGTGTTCATGGTTCTGCTACTGCAAAGAGATCCCAAAACCAAATACTAGTTCCTTCCTCCGAATTTTGAATACCCCTAAAGGAAATCCCTGGTGTAGTGTTGGATCTACTCAGAAACTGGGGGCCAAATATGGGGGTTGTTCAATATTGTATTATATAATAATATGTACTGTACCCATTTCAAGATGGTTAAACAACCCGTTAGCTTCAACAACGACATTGACCCCACTTTTGCTGGTCAAACACCATGCACCACACTCTTTTCTGTGACGTCGGATGGGACAATGGTGATCTGCTGCGCCCCTGCAGCGGATCACCATGGCGTACTACAATGCCTGGTCATCCACAGGTGATGCAAAGAAGAAACGATACTCAGAGAAGTAATCTTTGTTTTTTTTGATTCATATCATATCATATTATATTCATGTATGTCTTTGGATGAATGGAAGGGTGGTGTTCCAGTTTGCTTCATCCTCGGTCCAAATTAGTGAAGACCACCAAAGGAGAGAGTTCGGCTCAGTCTGAAAGTTGTGAAGATCAATGGTTTCAATGCATGGATATATAAATATATTACACATACATGTATATATACCAAGGATGATCATCGATGATCCATATCTTCATCAGTGTTCGCATGGAACGATCAATCTGTTGCCCGTTGCTATGCAAAACATGACCATGCCAGTTTCTTCAAGTCATGGAAGATTGAACATGGAATACCCTTAATGGCAATCAATGCTGACAATCAATGGGAATATGACTGGTATTATGATTATAATTATTATGTTCATTCCCAGTAATAGCCTCCTACTCCGAAATGCTTTGGATTGTTCTGCTTCACCCGAAGTAGCTCACATGCAAGCGGCGATTCGACGACAAGTCGCTAGCCCACAGGGCCGGAGTCGTATAGAGTCGTATAGCCGACAAGTCGCTAGCCCACAGGGCCGGAGTCGTATAGAGTCGTATAGCCGTGCTACCACATCTGTAGTAGTGAGGCAGAGGGAACACGTCAGCCCGAGGGTATTTTGTTTCGTGTCGAGAAAAAGGTGTACAGAAAACACGTTTACTAAATGCTATATATCAGTATATATATATATGTAATTATACATCATGGATAGAATGACCTGCCGTGAACTGGTACACCGAGGAGTTTTTTCTCCTGTGACTGTGGCTTAAAAAATGGATCCCATTGGGTCCATCACAACTGCGCAACCCATTTACAAAGAGTCAAAAGGATGACCCGCATGTGGGTTTCCAACCCCGAACATTGGCCTAGGGGCCAGTCTATCGGGACAATCATCCGAATCTCCCATGAAGCATAAACCAAGTCTATCTACCCCAGTCTCATCCAAAATTAAAAATAAACTGCCCAACATGAATATGTTGTCCAAATACGATATGTGCATGTATCGTTTACACATTTTTATGATATCTGTGTACATATATATATTACATAGATTAAAACAAGTACATATTACATGTATATATATATATATTATATAGATTATGTGTAAAATATATGTATACGCCACATATGTAAATACTGCTTGTGTAAAAATCAATAGATGTGTATATACCGTATATGTATATAAGGTACATTTGTATTATATTGAATATGTAACTTGAATATTATATATTCATGTATTATATATGATATATGCATATGTTGAATATGTTTATATGATTTTATATGTATTACATAATATGTATATACTATATATGCAAAACTATATGTATTTAGTTGTACATTGTGTAAATTACTGTAACACATGTATGATACATCGATACACACAAACGCACCGATCCAATGAAATGAGCCGCTTGTAAGTTCCAATCTGACATTCCGTCCTCCACCTCATCCAGCCCTTGAAATCATTCTTTCAAATTTGAGACGCACAGCTCTTAGTCAGCATCCACCTGGGAAAGACTTATGATTTAGGCCTTGATGAGCAGCCTGGCTGGCGTATTTCCAGTGTGTTTCAATAGGTGGTTGAAACATTGTTATTTTGGATATCTTTGATCTTTGGACCCTTGGTTAGTACATATCCTCAAAGAATTTTTTAGACATGGCGGATTCATGGAGATGTATTTTTTATTATTTTTTGACAAGGTGCCACGGCCAAACCTAGCAACCTAAGCGTGCAAACAAGCGGCGGCCTTTTTCCTGCTCAGAGATTGCTGTTTCTCCTTTGTGACCCTCTTTCGTGCTCAGAAACTGCTGTGTCACTGTAAGTTTTTTTTCGTGCTCAGAGGCTCAGACAATGCTCTTTCATTTTGTGAGTTTTATTCTTGTTTGGAGAATGTTTTTCACTTTGTGAGCCTTTTGTGCTCCCAGATTGTTGTTTCCACTTTGTGAGCCTTTTTCGTGCTACAAACTGTTGTTTCACTGTGAGTCTTTTTCGTGCTCAGACAATGCTCTTTCACTTTGGTCTTTTCGTGCTTAGAAACATGGGGAAAAATGTAGGACTCTCAACTCTCAAAGTGGAATTTCAAAAGATTAAAACACTTTACGATCGTCTTTTGAGAGATCGTGGCAGTAATCTCGAAAGCACACTTTGAAAGTCGTTGTTTTTTGCGTTCTAAAACTGCAATTTCACTTTGTCAGTTTTTTCGTGCTCAGACAATGTTCTTTACTTTGTGATTTTGTTTGTGCTCAGAAACTGTTTGTGAGCCTTTTTCGTGTTTTGAATCTGTTCTTTCACTTTGTGAGCCTTCTTTTTCGTTCCCCGAAACTGTTGTTTCACTTTGTGAGTTTTCTTCCTGCTCAAAAACTGCAATTTCACTTTGTGAGGTTTTTTCCTGCGCAGAAACCGCAATTTCACTTTGTGATGTTTTTTCGTGCTCAGAAACTGCTCTTTCACTTTCTACGCTTCTAAACATTGGGTTATCCAATTATATATTGATAATTCTAATCATTCGATACATCAAATCCCAATGATACCTAGAAAAAAACAATACATCTGCGCATCTGTCACGGGTGGAGCTCGCTGTGCCCGGCCCGGTTGCGGCTGGTTCCGGCTCAGCGCAGCCATAGGGCCAACTCTTCGAGGTTGGTGGGAGCCGCCATGGGAGCACCTGAGATTTTAAACAACTGCCATTGGGCCAAGGTTTTGCCAATGTTCATCGGTTTTAAAAAGGAAAAATCATGGGAAATCAAGATGAACCCATATCAACCAATGAATTTTGGGGGGTCCAAAATTGTCAGGCTCTTGAAATAAATAATATATGATAATATATGATAATTACTATGATAGTAAATGATAATGTATGACAATGTATGATAATACATGAAAACAAATGATAATAGATGATAATAGATGATAATATATGAGACTAAATGATCATAAACGATAATAATTAACAATGTATGATAGCAAATGATAATAAATATGAAAGTAAATGATAACGTATGACAATGTATGATAATACACCATAATACATGATAATAACTGATCGTAGATGATAATAGAAAATAATAAATATGAATAAATATGGGAGTCACCTTAGGTACCCCCCACCCTCCAGACCCCCCCGATTATTTTTTAATTAATCGACTATACCGATACCTGCACATAAATTTCAGATATTAATCTAGAACCTGGTTTACCCTCTGGATTATTTTATATATATATATATACATAAAATCCACACAGTCTATCACATGCTCACCTGGTCTCGTGTCTGCAAAACTCTGCACATGCCTGCAAAGTCCAAGCTGCTCCAAGCTGATGCGAAAACAACACGGTGATCGTCTGGGTATGTTGGTAATCTTTTGTATGGATTTGTTCATATTTGTCCGCATGCCATGCACGCTCATTCCGGTTCATCTTTTTCGTCCTCATTACCATCATTTCTATTTATCTACCATCATCTATCTACCATCATCTATCTACCATCATCTATCTATCTACCATCATCTATCTACCATCATCTCTCTCTCTCTATCTCTCTCTCTCTATCTATCTACCTGCCATTACCTATCTACCTTTCTACCTTTCTGCATGTTGATCTGCCACCTGTCAAAACTAATCCAAGGGTCTCTGACCCCCTGACCACCCATGGATTTTTTTGAGGGCCCATCTGCCTGCAACCTGTAGAGCTTAACCTAAGGGTCTCTGACCCTCAGATCACGCATGGACTATTTGAGGGCCCGCTTCCCCGTGCCATGGCCATCCACATCACTGCACGAAAGCAAGAACAGTCTCTCATCACCCCTTCAACACCATTCAGCACCCCTCCAAGCTGTCATCCTCTGCGCATGCTTCTTCACTCAATGTTTGCAACCTGTGGAAATTAATCCAAGGGTCTCTGACCTCCAGACCACCCATGGATTATTTGAGCACCCACCTCCCCATGCCACGGGTTCAAAGACCCTTGGATTAATTTCCACGAGTTGCAGACATTGGGCGAACAAGCACCCGCAGACAAGTGCAAAGCCCTGAAGGCCAGGATGATGAATGGTGCTGAAATAGAAGGTTTGCTGAAATAGAAGGTTTGCATTGGGTTAGAGAGGAAATGTCCTTGCTTTGGCGCAATGATGTCCAATGCCATGGCATAGGGAGGTGGGTCCATGTGGGCCCTCAAAATAATCCAGTGGTGGTGTGGGGGTGAAAGACCCTTGGATGAATTTCATGAAAGCCAGGATGACAGCTTGAATGGTGCTGAAATAGCAGTTGGGTGAACAAGCAGCATGCGCAGTGCAAAGCCTTGAAAGCCAGGATGACAGCTTGGAGGGGCGTTGAATGGTGCTGAAATAGCAGTTTGGCATTGGGCTAGAGAGGAAAATGTCCTTGCTTTGGTGCAGTGTGGGTCCATGTGGGCTCTCAAAATAATCCATGGGTGGTGTGGGGGTGAAAGACCCTTGGATTAATTTCCACAGGTTGCAAACATTGGGTGAACAAGCATGCGGAGACACGTGCAAAGCCTTGAAAGCTAGGATGAGAGCTTGGGGGAGGACTGAAGAAACCAGGCCACCCATGGATGATTTGAGCACCCAGCTCCCCAGCACATCACCGCACCAATCTAAGAGCATGTTCCTCTCTAGCCCACTGCAAAACTGCTATTCCACTGCGCATTTTGAATGATGTTTGTTTTCACACCTTTGTCGAGTTTTGTTGATTTCAATGGAGAATCAACCTTTTCCTAAGTAGGTGATAGTAGGCGGTTGTTCATGGTTTTTCCTTTACTTAAAAGCTCTTTTACAAAAATACTCCTGGTCTAGACCCTAATGTTCTAGACCCCAGGAAAAAGAATCCAATTAATCAATTACTTTACTTCGTGTGATCCCCACCATGACATTTATACATTTTCTTACTGGCAAATCTCCTGGCAATCTATCTGACATATCTTCTGACATTCTATTTGGCATTCTATCTGGCATATCTTCTGGCATTCTATCTGGCATATCTTCTGGCATTCTATCTGGCAAATCTTCTGGCATTCTATCTGGCATATCTTCTGGCATTCAATCTGGCATTCTATCTGGCATATCTTCTGGCATATATTCTGATATATCTTCTGGCATTCTATCTGACATATCTTCTGGCATATATTCTGATATATCTTCTGGCATTCTATCTGACATATCTTCTGGCATATATTCTGACATATCTTCTGGCATATCTTCTGGCATCTTCTGGCATATCTTCTGACATATCTATCTGGCATATCTTCTGGCATATTTTCTGGCATTCTATCTGGCAAATCTTCTGGCATTCTATCTGGCATTCTATCTGGCATATCTTCTGGCATATTCTGACATATCTTCTGGCATTCTATCTGGCATTCTATTTGGCATTCTATCTGGCATATCTTCTGGCATATCTTCTGACATTCTTTCTGACATTCTTTCTAGCTTTCTTCTGCACATTCTTTGTCCCATATCTTCCTACATGAGGTCCGGCAGGGAACACTTGGCGTGGATACTCGCGGTTGAGGTCCGGCAGGGAACACTGGGCGTGGATGGTCGTGGTTGAGGTCCGGCAGGGAACACTGGGCGTGGCTGGTCGTGGTTGAGGTCCGGCAGGGAACACTGGGCGTGGATGGTCGTGGTTGAGGTCCGGCAGAGAACACTGTGGATCGCGGGTCGCAGTTGGACGAGGACGACGAGGACGACGAGGACGACGAGGACGACAAGGACGACAAGGAGGACGAGGAGGAGGCAGGAGGCAGGAGGCGGCAGGAGGAGGAGGCAACTGACATAAAATCTAACAACCCTCACCTGGCAGGTGGGGAAAAACACGCAAGAAGACACTACTGATCACATAACCTCCTCCTGCTGAATGCTTCTATGATGATGTCCATCCTGCCTCTGGCCCGCGATCGAGTAGATGAGGGCTCAAATGCTCCAACAAATGTTCCGATGTCACATATCCACCATGCTACCATAGCTGTGATACACAATAGAAACTCTGTGTGATGTTGACTGTCTCAAGCATCAATCCAGCATGAGATCCCTTCAAGTAATTTGTAGTAACTTGCTGTAAGATGTTGCCTGTCTCGAGCGTCTTTGCAAACAGCTCCAAAGGTACAGAAATGGAAATGTCTCTGTCCACCCCAGTGACTCTGTCATCTGTTCAAACTGATTGCTTCAAACTTTGCCACCCGCAAAGTCAATAGTGGCATTGCCCCGATCACACTACCACACACCTGCAAGTTCGCAAGTAATATATCACATACTTGTCTGAAATTCTTTCTAACTTTCTTCTGCACATTCTTTGTCCCATATCTTCCTACATGAGGTCCGGCAGGGAAAGATTTGCCAGGTAGAATGCCAGAAAATATGCCAGAAGATATGCCAGATAGATATGCCAGATATGCCAGATAGAATGCCAGATAGAATGCCAGATAGAATGCCAGAAGGTATGCCAGATAGAATGCCAGAAGATCTGCCAGATATAATGCCAGAAGATCTGCCATATAGAATGCCAGAAGATATGCCAGATAGAATGCCAGATAGAATGTCAGAAAAGATGTCAGATAGAATGTCAGAAAGAATGCCAGAAGATATGCCAAAAGATATGCCAGATAGAATGCCAGATAGAATGTCAGAAAAGATGTCAGATAGAATGTCAGAAGATATGTCAGATAGAATGCCAGAAGATCTGCCATATAGAATGCCAGAAGATATGCCAGATAGAATGCCAGATAGAATGCCAGAAGATTTGCCAGATAGAATGCCAGATAGAATGCCAAATAAAATGTCAGAAGATATGTCAGAAGATATGTCAGGGAACAGTTGGCATGGATACTCGCGGTTGAGGTCCGGCAGGGAACACTGGGCGCGGATGGTCGTGGTTGAGGTCCGGCAGGGAACACTGGGTGCGGATGGTCGTGGTTGAGGTCCGGCAGGGAACACTGGGCGTGGATGGTCGTGGTTGAGGTCCGGCAGGGAACACTGGGCGTGGGTGGTCGTGGTTGAGGTCCGGCAGAGAACACTGTGGATCGCGGATCGCAGATCGCAGTTGAGCAAGGACGACGAGGACGACGAGGACGACAAGGACGACAAGGATGACAAGGAGGACGAGGAGGAGGAGGACGAGGCAGGAGGAGGCCGAGGAGGCGGAGGAGGAGGAGGAGAAGGAGGAGGAGGCAACTGACATAAAATCTAACAACCCTCACCTGGCAGGTGGGGAAAAAAAACAATGAACTCACGGTACCCTAGGATTAATTTACACAAGGGACCCCCCCATTAATATATGATAACAAATGGTAATTTATGATAATCAATCATAATTTAAGATAATATATGATAATAATGATATTTTTTGACAATGTATGATAATACATGATAAAAATATGGAAAATATTTTAATATATGAAAAATGTGAAAATAATTGAAAATATATGATAATGTATGACAATGGCCTCGTTTCTCTTAGAGAACATCTTTTGTGCCTTGTTGGCATTTTGATCGCTCTGATCCGTGTCCAGCAGTGCATCTTCCAAAAAAGCCCCGCAGCAGCGGTGTGTGTGTGTGTGAACCATCTGGAGAGATGTAAAACTATGTAAAAGTTCTAATGTTTGATTTCCAGGCTTCTCAGTATGACCTTACTTCTTTTTCATTGCAATTTTCAGGGGGTAGCGGCAGATCACTTGGGACCGCCACCAACGAAGACACCTGTTTGATCTGGTGATACAGATTGGGGCGCCAATCTGCGTACCTGCACCAATTTTCCATTTCTCGTCCATGGCTTCCGGCTAAGCCAAGAACCGGCACGTCGATTTTCATTGTCATTTTCATTTGCATTCTCAACTTGAAATGGGGAAGGGTCTGCTTCCAATTTGATCAATTTCAGCACATGCTATGGCGTTGGCAGCTCCTTGATACTTTGTCGGGTCACTTCACCAACCCATTCCTGTCAGGTGTAATGGAAGTGTTTTTGCACGTGAGATGCATTCCACAACAAAATTCGCAATGACAATTCTGAGCACGTGTGCGTGTGTGTGTGTGTTTGCAGCTTTTGCAGCTTTTTATCTATAATCTGTATCATGTAAAACATGTACTAACAATATCATACAATTCTAAAATACATACTTCCCACAGCTTGGACTAGTAAACTATACTAGTGGGCAGTATCTAGCTTATTGTGAAAATCCTGTTTTCGTCGATGTTGGACATATCACGTGATTTCTACCCCCTCATCATCCTGGAGCAAGGGAACAACCCAACAACTACAGTAGGGAGATTCACTATCCCTGCTCGTTCTTCCGTCAAAAATTGCAAACTTTGATCTGCCCACAATCACAGATGGGATGTTCATCATGATATCCATGGCACAGTAGAAAGAAATCCCAAATGGGAAAAGAGACGCAATATAATGCGATATCATGATATCATGACTGACCCCAATCCGTGACATCATTTGGGGTTAAAATGGCCGAAATCATCCGAAATCCAGGTGGTGAACCTGCAAAACTGTGGACTTACCATGATCCCGGAGATCCCTCTTCCCAGGCAACACATGACATGAATCAGTGCCCTCCCTGATACCATTTTTCGAGTTGGCTGATGTTGGTTGATAGAGATTTGTTTAGGCATGATAACAGCAATCCCCATGAAATCAAACATTTTGGCACTGATATGGGATGGTGGATATACCGCAAATTCAAGTAGCCCCAGCGACAGAAAAGACAGTCGAATTTCTGGGAAAGCTCATTCCTGCGCGAGGAACTCAGTCAAGAATGAAAAAGGACGGGTCATGGTTCGTGAATATTTTCGCGATATTGCACTAGAGTGATAGACGAAGATAGACGTGTGGTTGGTTGGAAACAACACATATACATCATATATATATAATATGTATGATGTATGTATATAGAACCACTACATTTAAAAAATCAGATGAGTCAAAATTGAGTACCCCTAAAATTGGATGCTTAATACTAAAAGAGAAGAGCATCTGCTGTCCCCTGGGCTGCATTTTCTTTTTTTCAAAGCCATCAGCCCATCAACCTTGGGAAAATCATCCAACTCATCATCATTCCATGTAGGGCCCCTGAGAAATAAGGTTGACATACCCCAGAGTAAGCCTAAATTTGCTCCAATGATAGTCCAAATAAATATAAATAAGCCCACTTCGGCCAAATTTGGTCTCGGCCAAAAGGGGATCCTTTCTCCTAGCCATTGCGGGTGCCTGGGCAGCTCTGCGCCTGCATCCTTCAAGACCTGGGTCATTGGGGATGACTTTGGTTTATGGCGTTTGAACATGGCTTTACCAAAAATATGCCTTTCTGGAAATGTGACTTCAACGATTTGTCGTAGCTTTTTCACATTTTGTTACCGACATTTTTTTTGTCTTTCCAGGCACAGCTGCATTGATTTGATGGACTGAAAACTCGCTAGATGATCATATAATACAATGCGTTGACTTGTCTATATAAAATTTGTGTATGTATACATAGATTATCATACAACTGCTCTTCTCATGAGTTTGACCATTGTAGAAATTTGTGTTCGCTCAACAAAGAGTGCTTTTGCCGACAAAGGGTTGAGTGATGAAACCATCTCTTTATGGGGATGACTGGGGTGGGAGGTCAGAATCTACAATACGATGAACTGAGCGGTGAATCCAGGGGAATCTCCACAAGTCACACACCGATGGAAGTTTTTGCCTAAAATGGGGCGTACAACTTGTTCAACCCAAGAAAATGATTTGAACATAGTATATATATTTTGCAAATCCTCACATCATCACTTTGCGCGTTCAACCATTAACAACGCAGCAGCTTCGCTCCACCCAGCAGCCAGCCTTCAAGGCCTCTTGATCTGTTACTTTCGCCTGAGCCAAATCGGGAAAACAGTCTGGTGAAACCCACAGGCACTTTCGCTGGCACCCATGGGGATGGATGATCCAGGTAACATGGTGTTCAAAATCAATACCCGTCCCGAGGGGCCAGGAACTTCCTTGGCCAATCTGTGGTGTTTTGTAATCTGCCCACAAATCAACTCTGTGACGTGTCCAAAATCAGCCCTTCTGGAGGTTCTTTCGGGGTCTCATACTCGATTTTGTGGTGGAAGCTTAGAAATACGCATCTAGTCATATAGTCCCATGCCCCCACCTCAATTACTCGGATCCGAACGTTCAACAAGTCAGGTACGAAACTACGCCACTATGGTTTTTGTGGGGGGAATGAATTGCTGTTCACCTGTGCTGTTAATGTACATGACTTCCTCTCTCTCTTTCTTTCTCTCTCTCTCTATCTCTTCCGGCTGCGTGCAGCACAAATTCATGTATATAATAGTCGTTGATCCAAACAATGTCATGTGGAAACAACCATTCTGCGCAAAACAGATCTTACTTTCGCAAATCTTTTACAAACTTCAAGTTCATTTTCCACGGGACCCATGTGCGGCAACAATGTCTCTCATAGAAAGACTAAGCTATCATAGGTACTTTGCATAATTGTGCTCATTTACTCCATGATAGCGTTGTAAACAGAAACATGCAGCTAGCATCCAGAATCCCTTCTCTCAACAGATTGCAGCATTGCGTGTTGGGCTTGTATGTGTATAAGGCATTATAAGGCTTCCTGGGCCATTCCCTCTTTCACTTTCGCGCGTTCATTCCCGAAACTCTGGGGAACAATCTTTGTGTTAAGCATAAGGCAGTTATAGTTTTCTATGTAGAAGTTATCCAGGATTCGTGATATTTAATTTTCGCAAACCGGTCATCGTAACTATAACTCCATACTTAAATTACAAAGCCCTGCAAATTATCCACATACAAATCACAAACCGCATAGTATGAGACAGAAGAGGATCCTGTTTGACAACATTCATTCTATTGCATTCACCGTCACACAAACATGTGGGTGCCCTTCCCAAAAAATGTCGTCGCGTAATATATGTATATTGTAAGGATACATGATATGTATATCACTGTATATCATATGGATATATGTTCCGGGCAAGATATCACTGGATCAAGTCATGTCGCTGGATGAATCCCAGCCATTCTTTCCAGCCTGGCAGCATCGACCGCGATATGGGGCTGTCCTAAAATGGGGGATACCCCAATAGCTGGATAGTTAAACAAATGGAACATCCTAAGGTTTAGTTTAGGACATCTCCATGTGTGTCATAGTCAAAACATGTTATAATATGGCTATATGTGCATGTGGTATTGTCATCCATCCCATAATGGGAATCCTTCTAATTGGCAACACATCATGAATTGATCCAAATTATGACGGTGGCACGTCTTGCTGAGACCCCAGGCCCCCAGAGATGTTTTTAGGACACAACTGACTAGCTGCAGAAAACATTCGTAGCCGTCGAGTGAAAGAAGTTCGATCACAGAACGTGAAAGGCCGAGGATGTTGAAATTACAGTAAGGCAAAACAAAACTTAGACCTTTATTAAACATAGAATATCATCTTTAACAGGTAAGCGCCAATTGCATTCTCAAATCCAATTTACATCAGTATATGTTGCTGATATGCGCTGACATTTCAACAACAAGCAAGGCCCTTGAGCCCTAGAGCTTTTGTAGTGTTCTTACCTGTTGAAGCTGTGTCTCCTTAAACTGGTCTGAGTCTATGCGTTTCAAAGCGAAAACGTTGCCTTCACCAACTTCCCGAGACTACAACGACTCCTTTAAAATGAATGAACAGCGAATGGTGAAGCTGAAATCTCCATACACCCAGGCCTGTGGAGCACGGCAGCAATATGTTCATAATTATATATATACGTATATCTATATCATGTATATATATATAATATATACACATGCAGTATATATATATATATTTATTATGCATTATTTTATTCAATAATATATATATATGTATAACTAATTATACAGTATATAATAGTATATATATATAATGATTATGCTGCGTTTACCCCCAAAAAGTGATGACCTCGAAGCTTTGAACAGAACATGATAGCAGTGGCCATGGGCTTTTTTCTCCATGGCACCTCTGGCTGATGATGTCGGCGGCGCTGTTGCCCATGGAATCCCGAAGCTTCACATCAGCTCCATGCTGGATCAGGAGTTGCATGACCTGCAGAAACAGATGGCTCTGTCGATGGCTCCATGGATTTTTCATGGTTTTTACATATGCTTTTACTACATGGAATCCAGAGTACCTCGAGGGATCGTAAAGTGATGTCTGTCCCTTCATCCCATCATGGGATAGTAACCGACCAGACTTAGATCTAATGGCCTCTTGATATACAATAACCCCAATCAAATTGGGAACGTAACCAGGGTGATAAGCAATTGTTTGTGTGCATACATGCGTGTATATATACATATATATATATTATATTATTATTGTTATTATTATTATTATTATATATTTATACGTATGTATAATTGAACTTCGTGGAATGATCCTACAAGGGGGATCTTGGACCTGGGATGACCGAACTGTCCAGTACAGTACGGTTACCATGCCTTGTTATCCCCTTTTGCTGCTTGCTGCCCGGATTCCCAATATTTTCTGGGTCTTACCTTCATTTGCAGGTTAAATACCAAGCTTTGTCCCAGAATGTCCAAAAGGGCTAAGGATGGATTGTCACTACTATGGCAGGCGAACTGAATCAATTGTGTTGTCTTAGTCACCTTTGTAATTTCATTCACTCTGAGGAGTTTGCCCAGTTAATGGGTATGTATGACTCAAGAAGGTTTGATAGAGATAAGCTCGACAGGTCAGACTGATACAAGTTGGTTTGATAGAAACCACTTATGATGACGCAGAGAGAACATATATATATATATAATATGATAAAGGTCAGCTTGATAGAGGTTGGTGGAGGAGGAGGACGAGGAGGCCGGGATGTAAAGGACAAACAGAGAATCCCACACGGTGATGTGGAAAAAAGGAGAATAGCGGACACAACAATCATTGGATACTTGTTGTACTTACCATCAACATGTCTTTGGGCCAAGGAAAACTAAGCCAGCCCCAAATACACGTTGTTTTTTCCCGACAAAACACACATTCTTGCAGGCTAAAACCATCTAAAGGCCCAAATTTGCCTCTGCACTGCAGAAGGCTTTGGCTGCGCACACCAGTGGCGGCTCCATGGAATGCTCGAAGAATGGAAAACGTGGGACCTGGCGTCACATTGCTGGCGTTGCTGGCGTCCCATGGGATGGGTCAGCTTGGAATGGGATTCCTGCTCTTAACGTATGAGCTGTGGTTGCTAAGGTTGCATGCTGCCAAGAGCAGGAGTCAAGATGTCTCATATTAGTTATCGTCTTCAAAGAATAGAAGAAGGAAAATCAAAAGACAAAATGCGGCATTAAATGATTCCATGACATTGAATCATGAATCAATTGATTGGTTAAGGGAAATTTTAGAGGAACGTTGGTTTCCTATAGTAATTATAGATTATAGGTTTTCCCTTAAACCAATCCATTGATTGAACCAACTGATTACACAGTATCCTTGGGTCATTCCTCAAGCAATCTGTGGGCTGCTGGACCTCAAGAAACAACCAACTCTGCAAAGCAAATGCACTCTCATAGCCATGAGGTCTGCTTTCAGGTCCAAAAAAAATCAATGTAGCAAATGCCATACCTGCTGGTATGCAAACCTGGCAATGGAAAATACTGCCTAGAACTTATTTACTAATAAGATCTCATTCATTAGATCCTGTTCCCCATATTTCAACAAATGTTCTCATGAAACACGGACAAACATGTTTTGGCATCTTTGATTGCCAAAGGGTCCCCTTTGCAAAGAAACGATAATGTGTTTGGGAAACTCTCAGTAGCTCCGAGTAGCTCCCCATTTGTATCAAAGGAATCTTATGGATTCACAAAAATAAAAAGTTCGGCCAGCTATTGGATCCAGCTATGGGTATGATTCCCATTGATTCCACGAAACCTAGCCATGATTCCAGGGTCACGGTGAGGTCCCTTTTTTACCCAGGTGGATACCATTGGATACCCCGGCACCTCAGGGTCTTCCACCAAAAGTGCCTGAAGAGCCCTGCAAGTTTCAGCACCTGGGTCTTGCAAATGCAGGGTAAAATAAACACATCTGACTGAGGAAACGGATTGCAGGAGGAAAATAGATGACAAGTATTGAACAGTATTGTTATTTTTTTTCAAATTCAAACGCGTTCAAACCAGAAACCAGCTGGGGTTGGCTTTCAGAAAAATGGAAAAAGTGGTTTCAATCCCACCAAGATGCACCGGATCCCCCAGGATCCACCGGGCTGCCAAACTGTCTGTATTCGCTTGCAGAACCTGACAGAAATTTCATCTGAAACTGAGATGGAACCAAAATATACCAAAATCAAACACAGAAAACAGAAATCTAGCCAAATCTTGCCAAATGGCACAAATGTCCAATGAAGTTTAGAAGTCAAACTTCCGACAATAAATATGGACAGATGGAAAAGCGGTGGGAAGAATCTCGTTTTGTTTCACCGTGGCCGATTCTTCAAAATCCTTGTAACAACACCCTGAGTTTGACGTGTTAAGCACTAAAGCCGGCGGTTCAAACCCGATGCCTCCACCACATTTCCATATAATAGAAACCTTCAAAAATGATGCAGAAAGTCAAACCTATGCAATACTGGTACTAAATGGGTATGGATCAAACTTGCCTAGATAAATGGATGGTTAACACTAAAAGTAGACTAACATCTGTGGTCCCTCAAGTCTTTAATTTTGATCGAGGCTTCGTCACTCGCCTTCATCAAGGGTGGAGCTGCGGCTTTCTTGGGTGCCCCTGGGGGAGTGGTCGGTTCGCCTCAAGCCCGTGGCTGGCTGGGAAATCCTCGAACTAAATGGAGGTTCTAATATGTTTTAGTGAGAACATCATCTATACAGGATTTACCATTGCTGTGTTTGATTACCAGAGGGCAAGTCCGGAGAAGTCCGGCAAGTAGTATGGTGACATAAGTGAACGCCCGAAATTAGTCTAGCAACCCACATCCCTGTTTTCCAAACAAAATGAACCGAATATATAAATGTGACTTCTTTTGT